CGGTGACACCTCCCCAAGATGACGATGATACCCCTAGAGCTGTTTCAGTGATGGTTTTTTTCTCACCAGCAACTCAATAACAGGCTTAGAATCATAGAACCATAGAATCAGTCAGGTTGGAAGGGGCTCTTAAAGGCCATTAGTCCAACCCCCCTGCAATGAACAGGGACACCTACAGCTTGATCAGGTGCTCAGTGCCCTTCCAGCCCAACCTTGAGTGTCTCCAGGGGCAGGGCTTTATCCTCTTGGGTTTGGCATTGTTGACATGGATGAACTTTGGTGCTGTACGTGTTGCCTATGTAGGATACTTTGCACCCATTCCACCCCGGAGATGCCAGCTGGCTCTCAGCCCACAAATGATGCCCATGAAAGGCTGGGCTGGGTCACATCTTCTGTCCCCATGGGAACACCACTGAGGGGTTCCACCACTGTGAGCAAGTCTGGGAGAGGGTAAACGAGAAAGAAGAAGAAAGTGCCCTCCTCCCCACCAGCAGTATCTGGTTTTACCCCAGTGTGCTCATCCCTGCCTTCTGCAGGTGGGCAGCAGAGAACCCCCCCCCCAAGAAACTCTCCTGGGTGGCCCCAAGACAGCTGAGCAGGTGCTAAGATAAGGGGAAAAAACATCTCAGCTTTAGGAACCCGAAGGAAGGGGCATGGTGGGCAACAGGGAGGCAATAGAGGCTCCTGGCTGGATCTGGTGGTACCTGGTGATGGTGACACCAGGTTCACCAGCCTGGCCTGGGGACAGCTGCAGCCTGCAGAGAAGGAGCCATGAAACACCAGCACTGTGCAGCCCAGCGAGAGAGCGCGGGCGGCAGATAAGAACATGTTGAGGAAAAACACAAACCAGAAGCTCCCGAGGAATTTTGGAAAGGAAATGGGGAATTAACTGCAGAAAAAAAAAAAAAAAAAAAAAAAAAAAAAAAAAGAAAGAAAAAGAAAAAGCAGGGAGGGAGCAGGAAGGCATTGCGTTTGCTGGCTTACAGCAAGCCACTCTCATTCCCTGGTGCACAACACACCCACCTGCATCCCTATTGCTGGTTTTGGGGTACCCATAACCGTTTTCTTTCTTCCCCTATACTTGTTTTACCCCTCCACTTCTGCACAGGCCCCTCAGCACGGGGTCCTCTGAGCAGCCCCCTCCATCCGCTCCTCGCCCCACAGCTATTTCAGAGGAAGGCAGGAGGTATTTTTAGTGCTGCCGGCTCCCAGGAGAAGCTCAGAGCCTGTGAGCCGCAGCAGTGCTGGCGCCAGAGAAACTGCTGCTGCTCTGGCTGATATTTCTTGTCTAATTAAACTCAATCCATCCCGGGGGCCGGGGCTTGGCCACCAACTCGGCAAGGAAGGGAAGGAACAGAGCAGAGAGCTGGGGGCTCTGATTGATGCTGGGAATCACTCTCTGAGCCCGGGAAAAGGCAGGGATGCGACTTGGGGAGGGGGGACTACTTTGTTTTGCCAGGAATGGGGCAGCAGGACTGTCCCTAAAGGGGCAGTGAATGGAGTTTGAGGAGCACAGAGCTCAGCCCTAATGGCGACATGGGGTTGGAGGGAACATTGTTCATCACCCCCCTCAGTGCCAGGGATAACAGGATGCAATGAGCCCCCACTGCTCAAAGGGAGCACCAGTAAAGAGGGACCCCCTTTGTCAAACAAAGGCCAGAATAGAGCCAGAGCCACACAGCAGCCCCAACATTCCCCAGTTAGCCCACATCTGGTGAGCAGCACTGTAGTTACACCTCCCCCAGCCCAACTTTGAAGACTGGGGGGGCACAGCTGCAGAAAACACAGGACCCCCATGATGGTTGTTGGGCTTCCCCTCCCCCCCTCCCCCCCCTGCAAAAAGAATAGAACATTTATTTCTGTGCTCCCTTAGAATGTGAGATACGTTCCGAGCGACCCGGACACCAAGCGGGCATTCCAAGCAACAGTATATTTTATATAACTGATTTTTTGTTTTTACCACTTTATAAAGCCATACAATGAACTGCGGAGAATCAGACATCTGTACAAAGGGGAAGACAAAAGCAGAGTCACATTCACACGTAGACACGGTGCAACCAAAGTCATCTTTACACACGCGACGACGCCATGGGCACAAAGATACAAAATATAACATATTTCTTTTCCATCTATATAAATACACAGAAAGGGGCAAGTCTGAAAGTCTTGAACTGTTCATTAACACTGATTAGCAAATAAATCTGTAACATTCCCAAAGTAACAAAGACAACAGGAAAAAGAAAAAACCACGCAAAACACGGCAGTGCTAGATCCGCCAATACAAATTTTTTTTTTTTTCTTTTTTTTTTTTTTTTTTTTTTTTTAAAAAAAAAGAAGAAAAAAAAAAAAAAAAAAAAAATAGTAACCCCAACCCAACCTCGCAATTTGCAAAACAAACGAACGGAATCAAACAAGCCCCTGCGGGCTCTTCTGCTGTCTGATCTCCCTGCCTGCTCCAACGGGAAGGGTTCCATTTGCCGATGATGCCGTCTGGGTTTTTGGGCCGGCCGGCTCCGTACCTGCCCAACCTGCTGGGCAGGGTGTGCTCCGGTTTGACTGTTTCACTGCTAAAAAAAAAAAAAAAAATCAATGCCCAGAGGCTATGGCCACATCCAGGTGTTTCCTGGAGGCTGGGACAAAGCCTGGCTCTGCTTGTGGGACCCCTTCCCACAGCATCAGCACAGCAAGAGGGGCTGGAACTAGGTTTTCTCCCCACTATCCCTACCAACTCCAACAATTCTACAACTCTATGATATTCCATGCTTGGTCAGCACGCGTTACATCCAGAACTACCAAAACCTGGCTTCATTTGGTTTGTTGTATCCAATTGGAAAGAACAACTTATTGCACAAAGGGTGCATCCCTCCAGCAGACAGTGACACAACCAAACCCCCAGATAATTACCGGGTCAGATGGGAAACCCCCAGGAGCCTTCCTGTGAGGCAGCAACACCGACAGCAAAGGGAGGAGGGATGGGAATGGGAAGGTTCTCCAAAGAACAAATCAACACAAAAAAGTGACGTACAACAAATGTACACACACACACAAAAAAATTATATATATATATATATGTGGGGAAAAGTGCGTTTTTAAGGATATCTTTGGCAAGAATATATGCAGTTCTTTGTGCAGGAAGGAGGGATGTGTTGGTGTGTGTGAGAGAGAGAACACCCGGTGGTGTGGTTACAATGGGACATGAGCAGGGTGAACGCGCACAAGCTCGACTCTCTGATACCGCAACTGCATGGCAAAGCCAAAGAAAAACCAAAGGATCTCATCCATCCTTTTTGTAAAGAAAAATATCGACACGGTACTGGGTCCCCGACAACCCAACTGGTGGGGAGTTACAGCCAAAAAAAAAGTAACTTTTAAAAGGAGATAAAGAAGGAAAGTGCCTTAAAGGGAGCTGACAAATGCCCGCTGACATCATTGGAAGCTCTACGTTAAAAACTACACAATGGTTAACGTTTGCCATTCAGACACAGGCTATATCTCCAGCTTGAGCATCATTGTGGAGCCTTGAAGCAGGCGTGATGCTACCAGCACCTCTGGGTGCTCCAATCTGCTTTGCCCTATGGGACGGGAAGGTGAAGGGGAGACTCAAGCACCGAGGCAGTAGATTAAAATAAAATTACATTATTATCATCTCTTTTCTTTCTTAGCAGTGAGAAAACCAAGTCTGAAAAATAGAGACTTTCAAAAATATATATATTTATATATCTATAAACACAGTGTTTCCTCTAATTGGTTACCGGCAGGGTGAGGAGATGATGGGTGAGATCATCTCTCATCTCGCTTGAATTTCGCAGAAGGAGGGAATCGCTTTAGAAACATCATTAAAAAATAAAAAGATAAAGTATGAAAAGGTCTTTGCATCCATGTGGATAGGGGGAGCCGGGAGGGGGAGAAGGCTCCATCCTCCACGCATCCCACCACAGTCTCGCACCCAAATCCCCGCTACGCATCCATCACCTGCCATACACCAACCAGCCTCCGGCCACGCCGGCCCCTCCGCGCCCACGCCGTCGCTCTCTCGCACACACACACACACACGGTCACACGCATGTCCCCCATGTGGCACCTGCACGCCCCATCGGCGCTTCCCTTGCACCCAATTCGCTTCTGACGTGCAGGTGTTTGCCCCCAGGGCAGGGGAAGGCAGATAGAACAGGGGGGAGAATCGATGCGCGGAAAGCAAAATATGGCAAAAAAATAAATATTTTCAGAGTGTCAATTTAACCTTTTTTTCCTCCTTTAAATTTTGTTAGCTTACAGTATTTCGTCAGTATAGCTCCTATATATATTATAGCTATCAAGGCAAGGGTGGTCCGAGGGAGGCAAGTTCTCTGGGGGGCTGCAGCAGTAGGAGTCTAATTGTTCGCCTCCAGCAGGCTATCTGGGCCACTCTGCACCGAAACTTCTCCAGACATAAAAACCACAAAATACAACCTCTGAACCTTTGTGCTCGCAGCACAGTGCTCAGCTCTGCCCCAAACCTGCACACTGCTCCCTCCACCAACCACCACCAGAGCCAGATCTGGGGCTGGGACCTCTGCTCCCCAACACCACAATGCTCAGCCATAAAGGCACAGGGCCCTCAGCCCCTGTGCATCCCCACACACAGGGAAAAGCCTGCAGTGCATTTGGGGTGCAAACCTTCAACCATGGGTAAGGCAGAGGGTGGCTCTCAGAGGACCTGTGGCCTCCCCACCGAGCCAAAGCTGCCCAGCGATTGTTGATCCTTTGTTGTTGCTGTTGTTGTTTTCTAAATAATTTTTCTTCCTTCTCTTTTTTTTTTTAACGTGGCCTCCAAAAATAAAAACAAGAGAAAGCGCCTGAGTTACTTGTAGTCATTCGCCTTTCGTGCAACTTGAACGTCCATGCAATTTAAAAACTGCTTGCACATCTCCAAAGAGAGATAGGGCCGGCCACGGGTCCACTGCTCCGCACAGGAAACCCACCTGTGCAAGCATCTGCTATTATTATTATTATTATTATTGTAACATTTTTCTTTTTTTTTTTTTTTCTTTTTTTTTTTTCTGTTAAGAGAATGTGTGACAGGCCACAGGAGAAAACTGTCAAAGAGGACTGGTGACAGGAGGGAAAAGAGGAAGATGAGCGAGGAGGTGCCTTCCTTCCTCCACCAGACCAGGAGTATCCTCCTCTTCCAGGCATGGAGCGCAGGAGCTGCCCAGGAGTGGAGGAGATGCTGCACTGCCCCTCTGTGGGTGAAACTTGTGATGTCTCACCTGTGCTAGGCTACGGGCCAGCAGCTGAGGGTAGCCCAAAGCCAAGCACCCAGGCAACAAGAGGATTCGGGACCAAGCCGTTGCACACCCCAGCAGGGTGGCCAGCAGGTTTCGGTGTAAGCTGGCAGGACCCTCTGCTGCAGCATGGCGAGGGGAAGTTTCCAACGGCATCTCCTCCAGTGTCCTGCAGACCTGGGCTCACACGGCAGCAGGGCGTTATCCCCTGTACGCTGTGTCAAACATGCAGCAGACGTTCACCGATGAAGGCTTCTTTCATGGCTTTTGCTGTTTTGTCTCTTTTTTTTTTTTTTTTTTCCCCTCCAAATGACAACCATGCATTTGGTCTGGAGCAAACATAACCACTTGGTGTGGCCTCAGGACTGCAATGCCGAAAGCTGGGAACTCCTCTTGCTGCCATCTTCACTTTGGTCACCTTCCCTGTGGTGGGACATGCATCCGCATCCTCTCCCTGTTTGGCGTTGACTTCATGGCTCTGTTACATAGGTGTGTGGTTTGATTCTTCTATGTGTGTGTTTAGCTTGTGTCAAGTTTTTAGGGTTTTGTTTTGTTTTCTTGTCATTGTTTGCTGTTTTCCTCCACAATTCCAACCCTTCCCCCCCCCCCCCAATTCACTTCCCTCTCCCACAATGCACTTCCTCACACTCCTTCTCGGATCAGCTCCAAGTCCTTCTCCAAAATTCAAGAATCACCCGCAAGCACCAGCTCATCTTTTCTGGCCAGAGCCAAGCATGACTCTGGAGACGAAGTTGACAATGGCCGCAGCTGGCTGGTCCGGGTCCAGCTCTGCAAAGAGGTGGCAGACGTTGTCTGTGGTGCTCCCTTGCTTCCTGGCCACAAAGCCAAAGAGCCTGGGTGGGGAGAAGACAAGAGGCTCAGTGAGGTTTGCCAGTGCTGCTCACCCAAGGAACACCACCCATCCTCTTCCAGTATGGCCACGTTAACCCTGTGCTCTTCAACATTCATCTTGCATGGCCCACAAGGAAATACCCTATTCTCCAAAGAGCCCACATGAAGACCAGCCTAAACCTCCTCTTGGTTCTTTGAAGACCAACACTCTCGGTCAAACCCTCTTTGCTCAGACCATCCCAGCTACTCAACCCACGACTGTCCCCAAACAAGGACCTTGAGGCATGTGAGGGATCCCATAACACTAGAAAGGCCACACGGGGACACCGAGAGTGCAGACCCACACACTGCAGCCCACAGAGCTGGATGAGACCATGTGGTTATTTCTGTCTGTCTCTCCCCCAATAAATGAAATGTCTTTTTTTTTTTTTTTTTTTTTTTTTTTAATTAGAACGTGCAAACTGAAGTTATAAATATGGGGGAACAGAATGTGAGACAGGCCCAGGCCCAGGCTGTGGCATTTCTAATTGGAGAGAGGAAACATCCCAGCAGCTGGACATCCTAATAAAAACTCTTTCACTAACACAATAGCTAAAATTAGTGGGAACTAACCCCCGGAACTGGGCTCAGTTCCTGGAGCAGTGCTCTCATGCTTGGGTGAAAAGTTCCCAAAGCAAGGAGAAGAGCCCATCCTCCAGGCAACCTCTGTGTACCATGTGGGGGCACCCCCCAGCCAGATGCTCCAGAAGGTGATGCTCAAACCCAAGTGGGATCCACCCTGACAGCAACTGGGAGGAACTGAGCATACACTTACTTGGCTGGACCACTGCCATCAGTTTTAGTCCACCTGCGAAGAGAACAAGTGTTTGAGATGGTGCCTCCTGCACACTACAGAAGCAAGGGGAACAGACAAAAGCAAAGACCCCATTCCAAGCAGCACAGTGGCCTGGAAGAGGGAAAAAGGCAGGGGAAACCCCAAGGATTAGGGCACTTACTTTCGTTCCTGGGGGTCCAAATCACAGAAGGTAACAGTATTGAGAGGATAGTGTCGTCGGAAGAACAATCTGAAACACAAGGCACAGAGCATCACAGCCAGTCATCCCCCACCTCTTCCCATCACAGCTCCCCTGGCTGTCCCCTAGGACACTCCACAAGGCAGGGCCAAGGTCCGTCACCAAGTTCACATCCCTGAGGGACATCCTTCATGCTCCCAGTGTAACACTCATGTCCCATGCATGCCCAGATTTTGGGGACCCAAGGATGTGGTAGCAGGGGCTCTTACTTCCTCTGGTTGTCCGTTAAGGTAATGCCTTGTGCAGAGACTTTGAAGTGAACAATCGTTGCAGTTGGCGTGGGGTCGGCCACCAGTGTCTCTGCCACGGCCTTGGAGATGGCCTGGGGGCCTGTGAGCGATTCCATCTCCACTGAATTGATGAAGAGGACATTGCAGGCTGGAAGGGGAAAAGCAGAAGTGGGGTCAGCCAGCCACTGCCCTGGGCCACAGTAACCCTGTAGCAGCTTTTCTCTACTCACCCGCACCCTGTTTGAGAAGGTCTGTTGCTGAGTTGGTGGTCGACACAGCATCTTTCTTTTCCTCCATGGGATCTAGAAGAGATGAGACATGGCTGCTCCCCCTGCCTGGAAACCTACCAGGTACTGGAGGCAGATGCACTATCCCCTTTCTACGTGCTGAGCATTGGATACCAGTACTGATGGGGCACTTGGGGATACAGGGGAAAGCCCAGCCTGCCTCTGAACCATCTGAGCACAAGGAATGAGCTATGGCTCATAGTGCAGAGCATGTTCCTGGACAGCTGGTCCAGATGGAGAAACACAACCCATATGGGGCTCCTAGCTGGAGGAGGAGCTCCTACCACGAAGAACAGAGGGGCAGTGCCACCCCATACTGCTGGCCCTGGTTCTTACCTCGGTCAGGAATGACCAGCTTGCAGGGCAGGGCCAGAGGCATGATGGAGTGCTGGTAGACAAGAGCCGACAAGCAGCCTGGGGAGAGAGGGAGAAGGTTAGCACAGGGCTGGGAACAAGCCTGCCCAGCACAGGAGCTTGTCAGGGTATTAGTGCTCTAGGTGGACAGAACCACACGTGGCATTTTCCTTCCCTGAAGCCACCGTGCCCATGGGGGCTCATCTCTACCCTGCCCAGCAGCATCACTTGTCCTCCAGAAAGCTCAGGGGCAGCTCTTTCAGATACCTGATTGCTCTGCTCGAACATTCCAGCAAAGGAAAGGCATCCCAACTACACCTGGGGTACTCACCAAAATTAGGCTCATTGGGGCATCCTTTTAGTTTCACACCCCGTGGGCTAGTCTCAATGAGGAAGTGCCTCACCAGCTCATTGGTGATGTCTCCTGAGAAAAGAGACCAAATGTTGTCACACCAGAGCTGCCCTCATCCTTCTCCTCCCTTCACCATCCCACTGCAATCCCATTGGCTCACCCACAGTCACCCTCCTGGAACCAGATCCTCTGCACACCCCAAGCTGTGTTGCTGGTGGGCTGTGTGCATTTCACCATGCCAAAGCCCAGGGGAAGATGTCCCCCAGCCCTCTATGTCTGGTATGTCCCCATGACCTGGGGGATGGCAGAGGCTGGCAGGGAGGGATGCTGCCACATCAGCACATATCCACGGGCAGTTTGGCTCAGTAGCCCTGGCTGCCCGCTCAACAGAAACAATAGAAAGCATCTCAGTGTGGGAAGGAGGAGGACACATAATACCTTTCTTGTTCTGCTGCATGACGGTGGGAGGTGGGGAAGCCACTTTCATGGCAAGGCCATAGGCTCCCCGGAAGGAGTGGCTGTCCCGGATGATGAAAGCCCCTGGCTCCCTGTCCTTCAGCAGTGCGATGGCTGGGGGAGAGAAGGGGAGAGCTCAGACCTGGCGTGCTGACAGGCAGCGTGCCCTCCAACACCAGCAAGCAAACTCCAGCTCGCTCCAAGTCCTTTGTCACATGTCACCTACACACCTTGCTCCCGGGAGATGTCTGGCTTGTACCAGTACTTAGAAGTGTCCTGCACAAACTTCACGTTGGCACGAGTCTCAGGGCTGACGTCTGCAGGAAGGGAAGAAGAGAAGAAAAAGTCAAAGGAGACTATCTGAAACTGTGTGAGATCTGGGCGACTCCCACCTTTTTGGGAATACAGCTACCTTCACCTCCACACAGCCCCAAAATGCCGCCTTAACCCCAACCTCATTTTCACTGGTAGCTCATGTCTCCCCTGGGCTCTTCTCAGAATGAATGGTAATGCTTTGGCATAGGCTGCCCAAAGAGGGGGTGCAGTTAACATAACTGGAAGCGTTCAAGAATCACCGAGATGTGGCCCTGAGAACATGGATAGTGGGCATGGTGGGGATGAGTTGATGGTTGGACTAAATGATTTGAGTGGTCTCTTCCAACCTTAATTATTCTATGACTGTATTTAAAGCTCAGTGTGGGGCCTGGGAAGAGCCCTTTGTGATCTGTAGGAGATGCTCAAGTGCTTCCCATCACACTCACTGCTATGCCAGCACCAAGAGGTCCCTGCTCCCTAGGGTGGCTCCTGGCCACTGCAGTCACGGGGCCACTGCAGGTGCCAGTGTGCCCACAAAGGGCCACCTGCTTGGCAGCCAAACCGAAGCAGCAGCTGGAGCCACTGCTGCCCCAGCACTTTATTTCCCTAGTTCTATCAGCCCAATCTCGGCGTCATGGTGGCGGCTCGTAATGGGAGCAGGGGATGGTGATACGGGTGTGGCACCCCTTCAGAAACAAGGAGGGGGCCCGGAGCGTAGCACTGGGAGCTCCCTGGGGCGCAAACACCAGAAATGGGGCTGGGAGGTCAGCACGTCCCCATGACAGAGAGAAGCTGGGCGGATGCGAGCTGCCTGCAGACGCTTTGATCTTCCCCATATACAAATCCCCACGGTGTTTACACCAGCATGACAGCGTGCTCCCAACGTCAAATTGGTATTTTTCCTGTTTGGATTCACCATTTTTGAAAAGCGAAAAAAACAAAAAACAAAGCAGGAAACAGTCCAAGCCTCAGCTGTGCTGCAAGTTTGCAGCTGGGCAGGAGTACATCAGGACATAAATCCGCGGGACAGTGATGAAAAGGGGACATGGGACAGCAAGCAGCTGAAGAGGAATGGAGGTGACAGCATCCCTTACCTGGCATGGAAAACTTGGAGAAATCCGGCAGGGTGTGGGAGAAAGCCACAGCGCTGCCGCTGCTGGGGCTGGACATGCCACTGGAGAGGGGCGAGGAGGCCTTGCCGTTGACCGTGGCGTAGTTGGGCAGGCTGTTGGAGCGCTCACCGGCTGACATCCGCCTCTTCTCAGGCAGTGCAGGCTGTGGAGTGGGGCTGCCCTGGCGGTAGGCAGCGGAGTCCGGGGAGGAGGAGTGTGGAGTGCTGGTGCCAGGATAGTACGCCGGTGAGACGGGGAAAGATGGCGTGGAGGGAGGCTGGTAGCCGGACGCACTGCTCTGCCGGGACAGCGTTGGGCGCCTCTCGTCTGGGCTGGAGTAGCCGTACATGGGGCTGCCGGGAGGCACGGCTGCCATCTGATGCCGGGCAAGGCTGGGGCTCCCTGGTGGCGCATGGGGGGACATGGCGTGCCGGCCCAGCCCAGGGCTGCCGGGCGTGCTGGCAACAGCAGGGTTGGCAGCTCTTCGCCCAAAGCCAGGACTGGGTGGTGTGTTGGTAGCCACTGTCCGGTGTAGGGTGCGGGGGCTCCCTGGCAGCGCATGGACACCCACCACGCTGACCTGTGGCTGCTGCCGAACCTGGGGGTCCGGCTGGAAGCTGGCTCGGCCATCAGGGTAGTCAGGGCTGGCATAGGGAGAGCCCAGCGTTCCCGCTTGGAAGGATGATGGAGACGAGGTTTGGTAGCTGCTGTGAGCAGATGGCGTTTGCGAGACGATGGGTGACCGGTAAGCTGGCTCAGCTACAGCATGGGGAGGTGTAACTGTGCCGTGGGGGCTGCCCTCCAATGGGTAGCTGCGGAGTGAGCCACTGAGGAGAGATCGGGAGAAGAGGATTCAGTTCCGCTGCACCCCCACTGTTGATTGGGCCCCTCCTCCAAGCAGGCACAGGAAAGCTGAGGCATGGCACCAGCAAGCTGCTCAATAGCAGCGGTGGGATGAGTCCTGCCAGCTACAGGAAGCAACTGGAGGCAGCTTCACAGTTCTCACACACATCAATTCTCCACCAAAATACGGGAGAAAGAGCATTTCCCCAGTTCCTCTCCCAGCAAAACCCCTTGTTCTTTCACCTCCAGTGGGCAGAGTGGAGGGGACAGGGATGGATGGCACCAACTCACTACAAGGGAGCAAAGCTCCCAGGGTTAGGGGGTTAGCACAGACCCTACACCTCCTGCGGACTTACACTCCCATACTCACCCGTCCATGCTGTGGATAGGGCTGCTAGTAGAGATGGGGCTGGGCACGGTGAAGGAGTTGCCAAAGGCACCATTCCTGGCAGGCACCTCCAGGCCCACAGGCTGGGCAGCTGGAAGGTTCCCTGCCCTGCCAGTTGTGGCCGTTCTGGCCACTGACTCAACATAGCTCCTAGGCTCTGCAGAGAAACAAAAGAGGAAAGAGATGAGCTGGCATGGAAATGGGGCCATGCCCTTTCCTGTATCCCCATTTGAGCCAGAGAAGATGCCCAAACTGAGCTCCTCCACCCCCCATGGACTGTGCAAAAACATGGGGCTCATCTGTGCCTTAGCATTCCTCCACGGCACACTGAAGACCCTGGACACACAGATGGGAGAGTTGTGCCCAGTCCCATCCCCAAGGGGACATAGTACACAGCGCCACATGGTGCGACCCATCATCGCTCAGCGCCATGCCACAGCCCTTCCACCGGGCTCTGAATCGGTGCCCCTCCCAGGCTAGGATGCCACAGGGCACACGTCGTGCTCCATGATCATCCTCAGCCCCTAAAAATAGAGCCAACAGCACAGCACGGCACAGCCCACGCTGACTCATAGCGGGAGCAGGGTGCTGCCCTGCACAGCCCACCTCCCCCAGCACCTCCAGCATCTGGGAACAGAGAGCAGCCTCATCTATTTCCACTGAAGCATCCAACATTTTCCCCCATTCCTGCTTGAAACTGGAGCCCATGAGCACTCCCAATAAGAGCAGTTTTCCTTTGGAGACACTGAGCTGTCCTGTGCCAGGAGCTCTGGGCTGGGCATCCTTGAAGGTCCCCAGCTCCAGGCCAGCTCCAGGCCAGTTCCAGGCTGGCCATCCCCAAGGTGACTCTGCAGCACTAATTAGCATTACAAACATTATTACTATTAGTCATAACAGCCAGGTTCTGTCTAATCCCACAGCCAAGAGAGCCAGTGAGGCCAATGCACAGCTCAGGACTGCAAGGAAAAAGACGGTCATAGGTTCCCCGATGCTCTCCATGTCCCCGTGCCAGTGTCCCATCTGCCTGCAGGAGGAATCAATGCTGCAGGGCTCATCTCCCTGCCCAGCCCAGGAAAGAGCCAAAACCAGACAGAAGATGTCAGCTTGGGCTGAGCACCCGGCAGGACACGCGGTCAGAGTGACAGTGACAAGGCAGTGCCCAAGGAGATGGCCATGGCAGCTGCAAGAAACACAGCACTGCTTGGGTAATTAAATTAATTTTTGCAGCTACTCACATCTCCCACCCGTCTCCCCACCCCAGCCTAAAATTAGCCAGACAGTACACATGAGTCAGCCTGCAAGAGGTTAAGAGCAAACGGCTGTGAAAATACCGATCCCTCCTGTAAACGTGGAAGCTGCAGGGACGCAGGAACAGGGCTCGGGGACAAGGGCAATGGAGAGGAGAGCCCACGTGTGTGCATGTATACGTGCCATGGTGACATGTGACACCGCGGACACATGTTGGAGTTGCTTGGTTCAGTATTGAAAAAGGGAGGGGAGGGAGGGGGGAGCAGAAAAAGAGAAGTTTGGGGCAGGATTTTTTTTTTTTCCTAAGTTGAAAACTCAACTCTTGCTTCCTGGTGTTTTCTCAGAAGAGGCTGCAGAGATGGGAAAATAGCAGGGGAACACAGAAGTCATGTGTCATCTGGGGGGTGAGCAGTGATTTGGGAACCCTAATCAGGGCTGTGAAACACCCAACCTTGTGCCCAAAGCCTGTCCTAAAGCCTTCCCGGAGGGCACAGGCAGCCCTATGATCCAGCACTGTCCGTTAAGGAGATGAGGAGGGGCTGAGCACATCCCCCTGGTCCCAGTGGGATGGAAACCTCATGGAGCAGCATGCTGAGGGCGTCCTGGGCACAGGGGAGCTGCTGGTGGGGGCTACATCCTCCCCAGACCATGTCCAACCTCTCCCATCCAAGCCACAATGCCGCAGGGTGAACCACACTATTCTTTTAGCACCCAAAATTACATCTCCTCTCCCAACCAGCCCAGAGCAGTGTCACCATCCAAGCCCTCCCCATCTTGCTGGTTGTCCCTGTGTCCTCAAACTGTCATCTCCATATTTCCCATAACGTCCCCAAAGCCAAAACACCACAAGTCACAGAATTGTAGGGGTTGGAAGGGACCTCCAGAGATCATCGAGTCCAACCCCCCAGTCCAACCAGATTCAGCCCACACGCCACCACATTATCCAAGAGGCTGCAGCACAGAAGTAAGGCAAGAAGTTGCCAGTGGCCACTTGCAGAGCCACAAGGACACCAGTGCTTTGAGCTAGCCACCAACACACGAAGTGTGTTGAGAACCAAGGAACGGAAAAGCAGAGCTTCAGGGAGTGGGAAGGAGAGGGCTGGGAGACACAGCACAGGAGGAAAAAGCTGGGATTTATCCCAGCTCTTCTTCCTCTGTTGCATCCAAGAAACTATCACTGAAAAATCAGCCCTGAGACTGGAATATTTGTGTTGTTTTCCTGAAGCAAACACTTTCTCCAGCGTTACACAACACGCAGGTTGGGGTATTTGCATTTTGAGGAACTCCCAGGGAGAAATGCTGACAGAGCCGCAGGAAGTGCAGCAAACATGCCGAGGAGACGTCCCCTCCCTGGGAAGGATCTGGAACAAATTGTTCCCTATCCTGGCCCTGAGGGCTCAAAGTTTCATTAAAGAAGAAAGTAAAACCACCCAACAACTGCAGGCGGCACTTGGGTAATGCAAGGCGCTCTGTCCTGAGGCCATGTGCCACCCCAGAGCCTCACCATCATTGGGGGGCACCCAGGCACTGAGCACCCCAGGGCCAGACCATGGCATCCTCGGTGCTCTGAGTGATGAGCACCTACAGGAAAGAGAGCCAGGGCAGAAAAAGCCTTTCTTACCTTCTTCAGAGTCAGCTCCCGCCTCCCCTTCTAGCTCTGAGAGATGGAGGGGAGTGATGGGAGCAGGGCAGAGGTGGAAAAAGGGAGGAGTGAGACAGAGAGAGAGAGAAATCTGAGTTAAGCAGCACTGCTTTGCAATAGGAGCACACAGAAGGCAGAAGAGAGCTCCACAGCTTCCCGACCCCATATATCTCCAGCATCCAGCCTGCCCATTTCAGAAATGATGTCCAGAAGCCTGCACCCCATATCCCTATGGGAAGGTCCCCACAATGGCCTGGCCCAAGCACAGAGGAAGAAGTGCCTTCTGCATCTGATGGAGCCTCTACCCAAGAAGTGTCCTCACAGATGCCCCTCAAGGAAAGCCACCCACAGTCCCCATGCTGCACTCACCTCCCACTGGGTGCAGCAGGATGTCAGCTGGGTTATGGGGTTTCAGCCCCAGTGCTGAGAGAGGGGTCTTGGCCAGGCCGGGTGGAGAACGCACTGTTGGCACCAGGGTGGGGGGGGAAACAACAGCATTAAGGGCAGGATAAGAGGGGAAGCTTCAGAAAGTCCGGAGCTAGTGCTGCCCAGGAGGTAAGCCCCATCCCACCCACTGGCTGCACTCAGGACTGCCAGAAAGAGTGGATGCCCAAGTTTGAAGCAGCATCATCACTTGAAGACACACAAAGGACAGAGTGTGCATGAGCAGTCTGTCCCATTTGGGGAACAGCAGGACACAGAAGGGAGGCAATTCCCAACAGGGCAGGCCCAGCCCCCATCTCTCAACCTTGTCCCACCGTAGGCATGAAACCTCCATCGTCAACCCATTCCCCTCCTCAGTCCTCCCATCCAATCCACCCCTTTGCCCACCCCTACACTTGGATGAACTGAGGCAGGGCTGTCCCAGTACACTCCATCGATCTAGGACTGCTAATACATTTACTACCCACAGAACAGCTCAACGGGCAGGTGATTATGCCCGAGCTCATTCCCCAAAGGTATCTAATGCACATGGAAGCTCTGCAATCCCCAAGCTCATCCATACATACCAGTGGGAGCTGCCTATGTATGCACGGCGATGGCTATGCCTGCACCGGCAGCACAGGATGGTTGGGATTAATGGGGCATGGTTGTGCCTCTATCCCTTCCTACCCCACAGATCTGCCTCATCTCCTCAGTGCTGCATTCCACCAACCCTACCAACATCCCACTTTCCTCACTCTCCCCAGCATTCACCTTGAAGATTCTTCCACCATCAGCATTTGAACATCCCAATTTGCAGCAGGGATGCCAGGAGGTGGTGGGTGGTAGGAAAGGCAATCCCCACCCCTGAGGCCACATCTCAGAGCAGCCTCAGGCTGGAGCAGCCAAGTCACTGTGAAACCTAGCTTTGGCAGGTGGCTGATTTCCCAAAAACTGATTTCCTCCAGTCTGGTCCCTTCTCAATGCTGGCAGAAAAAATATGGGGTTCTCCCAGGGGCAGGGACAGCGGTGTCCCCATGGAGAGGAACAGTTCCTGCATCACCCCTGGTGAAACTCTAGTGCAGCCTGAGAGCTTGAGCTTCAAAATTCCTCCTTGACTTTCAAACTGGACAATAAATGCTGCCTCTGGGCCACCTCCCTTGCCAGGCTGTTCTGTCACTTCTGCGAGTGACTCATCCCCCAAAATGAGTCACTGTCCCTCTGCCAAGGGCCTGCTGGGCCTGAGGAACAACGGGGCCATTTCTGAGTTGCCAAATGCCCCGGGACATTCCCACACTCCAATCACTACATCCCATGAAACAGGAACATCAGTAGATAGACAGTAGCAGTGTGGGGGAAGCAGCCTGATCTGCAAAGGGCATCAGCATTGCCGAGTGGGACCAGGACACAGACTGACTGCCAGCCCTAAAGCATCCTTCTGTGTGGTCAGCCTACAGAAGGTTATTTTGGGAGGGCAGAGAGGGCATCTTTTTAATGGGTTTCCCAGTTGACCAGCTGCTCCATTGCACAGGGGGTCATCACCAGAGCCAGTCACACAAACCCGGTCCCCACAAACCCACCACAACTGCACAACCGAGGTTAGTTAGAAAGGAACCAGAGAAGTAGAGACAGAACACATGCAACACTCTTTGCAGCCCTATGCCATTCCTGCCCTAAAAACAGTGAGTGGGAAGTGGGATAGTGTGCAAGAGTCTACCCTGAGCCTCTGACCTACATCCCTTGCTGTCCCCTTATTGCTCTATAGCTTTTGTGCCATGCTGGTAGAAAAGATGGGGAGGTGTAGGAATGGGATGGTGCCATCTCTCTGACCCTGCTCCTCTCCTCATCCCAGAAACACCCCAGTGAGTGGAGGATGGGGAAAAGCCAACAGGGCAGTGCCAAGAGTGGGATGCAGATGATGGGATGTGAAGGAGAGAGGAGGAGGAGGAGGAGGAAGGAAAAGAGGAGTGAGCGATTATCGTGGCAGTGGGTGTATGGAGCCCGGAGCTGTCTGACCCTTGGCAAATTTCTGGTTTGATGAAAGCCACCCACTGAGCCCTTCCACCTCCCGGAGCCGCAGCACTTACGGGAGTCGGAGTAAGGGGTTTGTGGCGAGACAGGGAAGGCTGGGGTGGGGGGAGAAATCTCACCACCGCCGGAGGTCGGGCTGCTGGGGGAGGCATTCTCCATCTCCTCGAAGGCTTCCTTGTAGCTGTGGAGGTGAGGCTGGGGGGGAGAGCAGGAGAAAGGGTTGGTCCCATCTGTACAATGGGCACAAACCTCCAGAGGGAAAGTTTTTACCTCCTCACCAAAAACGCATCGTTAAACCCCCAACCCTCCAGAATGCTGCCTCCCAGCCTTCCCTCTCCCCATCAGCACCCCCAGCACCAGTACCCAGCGCACCTCCTTGGGCCTTCCTCCAGGGTTGGCCGCAATGGTGCTGACCACCTCAGGTGAGAGGACAGTGGGGCTGCGGGGAGAACTGGGTTCCGGTGAGCTCTTCTCATAGTGGCTGTCACTGGGGGTTCGCCTTCGGGCAGAGACGGTGCTCTCCTCTGGGGACTTCTCCCGGGACTGCACCCCTACAGGCAAGCACAAGGCACGGGAGATGGGTGAGGAGGTGCCAGCTGGGATAGGGTTGCTGGGAGATGCTCCACGACTGATCCAAGATGGTCTGGAGAAGGGGCTCTGCCCGGCAGAGACAGCAGATTCAGCACTCACCTGCTCCCACCCCACGGCAGCAGGGCTAGTTTTGAGCCAGATCAGATCTGCTCAGCAGCAGCAGCAGCAGCAAAGGGACAAGAGAAAAAGCAAGCCAGGGCTGTGGCTAGTTCACTGCATTATCCCAACCAAGCACTGTGAGTCCTGAGCTGAGTCCATAGCATTCCCTAGCATCAGCTGTGTGAGGTGTGAGCATCACAGAACATTCTGCAAGCAGGCCAGAGCTCAGTGTAGCACGTAGGGTCCTGGCTGCCTGAGGTTGGTTAGCTCACACCAGTGATCTCAGTGGGCTGGGAGAAAGACCAGGAATGGGGACAAAGGAGCTTCAAGAGTGGGTTGAGGGATGTGGCCCAAACACAACCTTCACTCCACCCAGCCCAGCACTGAAGCTTCTCCAACAAAGAAGTGCCCAGGGTGGCTGTGGTGCTGGGTTTGGTGCAGAGGGCTCAGTGGGGGCCACGCAGAGCACAACTCATAGCCCCTCTGGGGACCATCCTGGGGACCTGCATAGCAGCAAGGAGATCCCCAATTTCAGACGTGCTGCTGAGGTGACACAAGGGACTGGCAAAGGTGACAGCACTGTCCCCTCTACTCTTCCCACGCGCCCTGCTGAGAAAGGCATTGCAGCAGGGTAAAGAGAGAAAAAGGGACAGGAAAAAAAGAAATGGAAAAAGTGGAAAAAAAAAAAAAAAAAAAAAACAACAAGAGGCCAGCAGAACACTCCAGGAAATGCACTTCTCCAACACCAACTCCTTTCCCACGGGCTGGTGGAGTGCAGGCGGCCATCAGCTGCTCCTCCTGCTCATCAAGGCTCTGCGCCTTGCGCCTGCTGACCTCTCCTCCCGTCCACCCCTGCACTCGCATAGTGCACTGCCGCAGCCCCTGGCTCCTCCGGCAGCGAGGGAGGGAGGGAGGGAGGGAGGTGGCCGGGTGCATTTTGAACTAATCAGCGCAGTTAATGGCAGCAACAATAAAATCAACGCTCTGGGGAGCAGCGGCCCGGCTGAGAGGCGGGGGACGCGAGCCAACGGGGCTGGCTCGAGCCGCGGAGGCGGCCTGGAAAATTCCACTCGGAGCAGCTTTGAAACACAACTCCTCAATCCCTTCTGCAGGTGCTCGGGGGCCAGCAGCTCAGAGCCCTTAGGGGAGTCGCGGGGATGCTGTGCTGCAGGGGGAGCATCGCACCAGGTCACCCCAAACCTTCTGTCCAGCTCCTTGGGCTCCTCCAGTTGCACTCGCCTGTCTTGGCTTGCTTTGGGCACCTTGTGCTCCAAGGCTGTCCCCCAGCACTGCTGCACTGGGGCGTCCCAACCCTGAGCTACTGCATGGGGATGGAGAGGGGAATGTGGGGCCAGTCCCAAGGCCAGGCTGCTTTTCAGCGCTCAAATGCCCAGCAGCTCGCAAGCTTTTTGCTGCTTCACTCCCCAGAAATGGAAAACAGACGGGGACGGCAGGGAGGGGAGGGAGGAGGGGAAAAAAAGGGACTCATTGTTCAGGAGTCAGGAGTGGGAAACTTCACAAGCAGCTCGGAGCGAAGCCTGGAGGAAACCCAGGCTCTGCGCACGGCCTCCCGACCCCTGGGTGATTTATGTGCTGGAAACTATGCTTGAAAAATAAACCCTCCTTTCCCGCAAAGCTGTGCCCCCTCGGCAGATGTGCAGGCCCGCTTGGCCACACAGCAGTTCCCCAAGGACGCCTTGTCCCTCTGCAGGAGCAGCATGCCTCATCACAGCACATCCAGAGTGGCCAAAAATGGAGAATACAGCATCCTGCCCCCACTCTGTGCCCATACTGCTGTCCCTTCCCCAGTGTGATGTCACTCTCAGGACCAGACAGAGGTAAAAACTTGTTCCCTCTCAACATGGAGAACAGCAGCGAATTCTGCCCTGTAGTGCTCACCGCAAGACCCAAATTTTTCCATCCCTCCAGTCACAGACACATCTACTGCTCTCCTCCATCCTAGAGTGCTTCATCAGTGTGGCATCAATGTTTCATCCCAAAAAGAACCACAGCACCGATGCAGCGTCCCTGCTGTGAGCAGCACACTCCAGCATTCAACCTTGCCTTCAATTTTCCAGTCCATCCCAAAAGGATTCACATCAACACCACAGACCAGAATCCAGCCCAGCTGGGGACAACCCCAGGACCAATTTAGCCATGTCCCGCTGTGCCAAGGGCTTGGTAGGCTCAGACCTCTTCCATCCTCCTGTGGGGCTTGCCCTCCCTCCATCCCACGTTCATGCAACACACAGTGCACTCGGCATGCAGGCAAGGAGGGGGAAGAGAGAGGGAAGAAAGGAAAAGAGGAAAGAGAGGGAACAAAAGAGGAGACAGGAAGGAGAAGGAAAGAGGAGTAGGAAAAAGAAAGGAGGAAAAGGAAGAAGGAAGGAAGGAGGAAGAAAGGAGAAAGAAGTCTTGAGAAGGAGGAAGGAGGGAGGTGGAATGAACAAACCGGAGGAGGACCGTTGCTGGTTCAGAGGAGGACGGGGGGCTTTGGTGCTCTTGTTGAGGTCCCTGAGCTTGGCGTTGTACTCTGCCAGCATACCAGGACAGGGTGCAAGGAGTGTGGGAGGTCACAGGGACACACACGGACCCCATGGGGAAAGGAAGGGGCAGACAGGACAAATGTCACGAGATACAACAGGGAGACAGAGAGAGAGAAAACAAGAGATGATTAGTCAGACTCCAAGAGACGAGCCTGAGGTCACCAGGGATGCAAGGGAGCTTAAGCCCTACTTGGAGCTGCCCCTCACATCACCCAAACTGCCAGGAACATTGCTTCACTTCACCCCTCCCCTATAGCTCCAGGCACTGCTTATACACCAACTGGGAACGCTGTGGCTCCCAGCCACACATGTCCTTGTGCAATGCCATCAAAGCCCTGACACCATCCCCTCGAGGATGGCACCAAACAGGGCCCATCCATCATGAGATGAAAGGATGGAGGAAGGGGACTTGAAGCACAGCAGAACTGGGGTGCTGGGGTGGAGGTGATGCGAGATGCTCCTCATCACTGTGCCAGGACACGCAGGCAATTTATAGCAGCAGAGAATGTAAACAAACCCGTCCGTGCCTGACTTCCAACAGCGTCCCCTTCCCAGGCCCAGCGCTGGCTTGGGGACACTTTGTCCCTGGCCAGGGGTCAGCCCGCCTGCTCTGTCCCCACTGGCACAGACAGCCAGACTGGGGACAGGTGGACACAGGCTGGGGCCATCCCCATTCATCTCTCCTCCATGGGTCACTGAGGTGGGACTGAATACCAGGCCAGTACCCAGGACCCTGCCCTGACCCCCTGCTCTGACACAGGATTTCCAATAGATGCCATCAAACATCCATTTCCCACACACCCCAAACAGTATCCCTCCTCCTCTGAGGGCTCTCCTCTTTTTCACTCTACTTCTTCTCCTACTGGTAGCTGCTCAGTGGTTTCAGGGGTGGGATCTTCTTAAAACGTTCAGCCTAGATACACAGTAAAGTTTGGGCATCTCCATACCCTTGGGTTTGTTTAAAGCCCTGACTCCCTGAATAGCTCTGTGGATCTTGAACTCTCAAGATGGGGTTTGGATGGATGCAAACTTCACCCAATGCCCCTGTTCTGCCCCACACTGCTGCCCCCCGCCCTGGGGCAGTGGTGACTCAGCCCCAGGGCTGGATGGGTTGCCACTGTTGGATTTTTCCAGCCAAGCCCTCTTCCCCCTCCCTTCAATACCGGGCGAGTTTCTGGACTGAGCGCAGAGCTGGAACGGACGGAGCTGCCAAGCCCCAGCATCACAAGCTGGCCCCAAGCCTGGACACATCCCCAAACTTTCCCAAATGTCGCTCCGCAACGAAACAACTGCTCGCTTGAGCAGCAGGAGTGAAGGCACCAGCGCTGCAGCAGCTCTTGGGTTGGGTGGGACCCTCAGTGTCCTCAAAACCCCCAGAGCTAGAGAGAAGGGCAGGCAGGCAGAGCATAGTCTCCCAGATGCTGCTGCCTCTTCCTGCCCCACATGGCAACCCTGACATGGTGAGCTGTGCCAGAGGGAGCTGAACAAGCAGCAGAGGCTGCCCCCCCCCCCCCCAGGATCAGTGCTGGCTCAGTCCCAGGCTTTGATCCAGCACAGATGAGGAGTCACCATCCCCCATCCTCACTGCCACCATGCAGGGTGCCAACACCAACCTCATCCCCACACCACCCTTGTGGGTTGCAGCTGCTTGGGACGCACGTCCCCTCCCTGTCCCCCCAAGGAATCAAAGCGTCCTACCTGCCACCCTGTGGGCCACCAGCCCTTCCAGATTCAAAGGCTCTTCTCCCGACCTCGACAGGTCTTCATAGCTCTCCAGTCCCTTGTGGGGCAGCTGGCTTTGTGCTGTTGCAGTGGGGGATGGCGGGGAGGAGACGAGAAGCTGCTGAGACCCTGCAGGGCTGTATGAGGCGCTGAGCGGAAGGATGCTCGATGGTGCACTGCCATAGCTCCGAGGCTCCTGCACCGGCTGGTAGCTATAGGGAGTATAGGTTTCCCGGTACTCATGCACGGTGTAGTTTGGTTCTACAGAACTTCGAGCCGCGGGAACCAGTGGACCAGGTGAGTAGGCTTTGGCCAAGGGATCAGTGCCCACAGAGGTGCCAAAGGACCTGGGCTGGACCACCTGTGGGGCTGGCTGAGCATAGTGACCACTGAGTGGCTGTGCAGATAATGAGGAGAGCATGGCAGCCGGCTTGTCCTGGCGAGCAGCTGTGGAAGGGACACTCTGTGACTTATGGACGGAGGGTGCAAGATCCAGCATGAGGACATCAAGTGCTTCAATGGACTGCTCGATCTCTCGGCGTGATGGAGCCCGGGGGAACTCGGGCATGCTGTGGCTGTGCGGGGGCATGGGCTGCAGCGGGCTGGGCTGGGGGCTGCAGCTGGAAAGGCTGGGGCTGTGGCTTTCCAACCCACCATCATGAAGCTGGGATGGAGGTCGGCTGCCGCCCTGCTGCTGCCAGGAATTCAGGCCCCGCTGTACAGCCTCCCGGCTGCTGGTGCTGCGAGCTGGAGCCTGTGGTAATGCCGGGTTTGCTTCATACTTGGCTGTCCCTACAGCTGGAAAAGACTGTGAGCGGTGGGCACTGGGTAGGTCATAACCGTACAGGTAGGGCTGGGGGACCGGAGGCTGGAGCCAGGCCGGTGAAGCTGAAGCTGGCTGCCGCTGTGGGTACCCAGCCAGGTGCTCCTGCCCGGACGCTGAGGGCCGTAAGTGAGTCAGCGGGTCACGGAGGGGGTGGCCCATCAGGGTATTCTGGTTGCTGTAGGGGTAGGCACCGTTGGAGAGAGGCTCAGCCTCATAAAGCCCTTCCTTCAGCATCTTCTCAGCCCCATTGTAGCTAGCTGGGCCATTGGGCAGGGAGGAGAGGCTGCCCACACGTGGCGCCTCATGGAAGCCAGCCTCGCTGGCAGTGGTGGTACCATCTAAGGACGAGAGCGTGCCCAGGCTGCCCACGCTGTGCCCATCCTGGTTGGGCAGTTCATCATCCAAGATGTCCGTTTCCCGCTCAGCCAGCAGTGGTGTGCCAGCACCATTGACGTGCACCTGGGCTGGCACTACATGTCGGCCCGGCCCGGCGGGCATGCGGGCAGGTTCGGGGCCCGGTGCGTGGTTGTGCATGGGCGCTGCGCTCTCCAAGCCAAAGCCGACCAGGAGACGGTCCAGCTCCCGCTTCTCCTCGGGGCTCAGCACCGCGTGGCCACCGGGTGCCCCGGGAGCCCCCGGCTCATCCGTCCGGTCGGTCTTGGTGGAGGCGGTGGAGTTGCCCGAGTCGCTGCTCACCGACAGTGTGTGCTCAACGTGGTTGGGGGCTGCCGAGAGGGGGAGGCGGGCGGTGTTGACAGCGCCGATGCTGCCGTGCAGGGAGTCTTTCTTCTTCACTTTAGCGTAGAGGCTCCCGTCCAGGGGCCCTTGTGTGTGCCCAACCTCTGCAAGGGGAGAAACGAACACGAGACCCCAGATCAATGGCTGGCTCTCTGCACGTAGCTAATGGGTCCCATTAGCCGGTGGTTTCGATCTCTTCCGTGCCGCCGGAGTGCTTAACTACCAGCATGGCCGTCTCCTCCGCACCTGGCGCGGTCCCGCGGGCGCCGCCATGCACAGACACCGGTGCCAGGCACCCTCCCCGCGCCCCCGTGGCTCCGTGCCGTCCTTCCCTGCCCCGCAAGCACCGCATGCTCCGCCGACATCCAGCAAACAGCCCCCCTGCTCCGTGCAAAGTCCGTGGCTGTTCTCCTCCCGGCCCCAGCGGTGGGGAGGGCTGGGGCTGCTGATACCATTGGACGTCGCTTAACAGCTGCACCCAAAGGGACACATCGGGGCACTGGAGGGCAAATGGGGACCGTGGGGGCAATGCATGCACACAGACCGCAGGAGGTCAGGCAAAGAGGAGATGCACTCAGTCTGGCATCAAAGACAGATAGACCGAAGACCCATCTGTCCCCTCCTACCTGCTCTTTCCTCCCACTCTCCTCACAGACCATGCATGGATCCAGCCCAGCCACCCATCCTTGACATTTTCTTCCCTGGCTACAGCAAGGCTCCCACCCTTTCAGTTCCTTCCCTTCCTCTTTCAGGGCGGGTGGATCTGCTCCAGGCCTTCTCCAGTGGCCAGAAGCTCCCACACAAGCAGTATTTCTCCCCAACCCCAAGCATACAGCAACTCCTCCCTGGGGAAGCACGAGACACTGCACAACCCAAAACTGTATTACAGCAATGTCACCACTGGTTTCATACCCTGCCCCAAGCCCCCCCCAGATCCCACCACCACCACTTCCCAATGAGTCATCCAACCCTTAAGGTGGAAGTGAGACCCTGGCCACTGCAGTGGCACTGAGGACAGCCCCCTTTACCATGCCTTTCCCCCTCAGCAGCACGCACAGCACCGGCTGGGCTACAGACTCTTGTTTTTCCAGCTCCCCGACAAGGTTTCCTGGAAGGGGCTGTGAGCAGCATTAAACACTTTCTTTTGGAGGAAAAAATGACTCTTCGCTGGCTGGGGGCCAAGCGGCTGACTCAGGAGCGGAAGACAGCCCTAATGCGATAGTGTGAAATCAGAGCACTCCTATCTGTGAGCAAAACACTTCCGAAAGCCAGTCCTGAGCTGGGGCACAGGGCCGTGTCAGCCAATCCCTGCCTGCCCACGGGGATGCACTCACCCCACGCCACGGCCCCTCCTCACCATGCACAATGCCCAGCACACAACCTACCCAGCCAGCCTGTTTCAACCACAAGAATAGCCCTCTCAGCATCAGTTTTCCACTTGCAGGTCCCTATTGGCAACCCAGGAAGGCAGCTGAGCCCCAAATATCCCCCTGGCCTCAAAGGTGGGGTGATGCAGCAGGGAAAGCAGGGTCCCCTCTGGGCACGCAGTGTGAAGGGATGAGAATTTTCGTGCTCCTCCACGCAGCAAGGAACCGGCAGCATTTGACTCACAGAAGGGAAAGGGGGAAAGAGGGAGGGAATCCCTTCCAGTGGAGGAAGAAAGGAAAAAGTACCGTGTCCAGGGGCAGCGTCAACACTGGAGAGACTGAGACATCGCCTAGAGCTGGGACATTGCCCAGCCCTTGTCTGATGGCAGTGATGGGTGCTGGCCGGTCCCAAAAAATAGGGGAAGAGCCGAAGGAGGCTGGGATAAACAGGGCAAGGGAATAGAGAGGAAAAGGGAATAAATAAATATAAATGGAAGCACGTGGCTCCAAGGGAAAAAAAAATAGATGGGAAAGGCTTTAATTAGTCTGTAGGCTGGGAACCGCCCCGCTGCTGGACGAAACATCTTGAAAGCAGGGTCTGCAAGGGGCACAGCTCACCATAAGTGCCTGTCCCACCTGCCTTGCACCCTTCAGCCTGATGAGGACACAGCAGCTTGATGACCTCCATCCCAAGAGTGGCACTGGCGTGGCAAGGAGGAAGGTCATGCCCCCTGCCCCACACCAGACTGCACACCCTGTCCTCAACCCCATGCCACCCCTGGGCTCTGATGACAAGAGGTGAAGCTGCTGCTCCCTGCCACCTCTCCATAGCACTCCAGGACCATACTGTGATGACAAATTAAACAAACTCCCCCAGAAACCAGCAAGAGAGGAGGGTACAGGCTGCCTCAGCCAACACTGCCATACCCAAAGCAGCAGGAATCCAAGTCTCTGTTTGCAGGTGGCCACAACTCCCGGCAAGGTCAGGCTTCGTCCTGAAGGTCAGCACAACTCCAGCCCAGAGGGTTGCGCGTCTGCCCAAGCTCAGCTCCCAGTATAGCTCAGGGCTGGCTGGCATAGAGCCTGGGGGTCCTTCTCCCTCACTCAGACTGGGAGAAAACCCAGCCCACAGCAAGTAACATCAGGAGAGGGGCTCAGCTCAGTGGGTGGTAAAGAACACATACCGCAGATCCCAGAACCCTGTCACAGGTTTGTGCCCCACGCAGCACCATGCTCCCACACAAATCCTTCACTCGTGTTGAGGACAAAGCTGGGATACTAACAAATCTCCCCCAAACCAGTCCCCAGCAGCATCTCATTTGCTGCCACTGCCCCAGCAGGCAGGACCACATGGGATAAAGAAACCAGGAAAGAGCTCACCTCTCCCCAGTTCTGGTCTATTTCATGTGCCCAGATACGATGGCAAGAAGTAACCCCAGCCCCTGAGCCAGGGGTCACCATGGCTATGAATTCCATTCCCCCCCACCCTAAACCCTCCCCTCTCCCAGTCCATCCAGCTCAAAGAAAAGCAAGCACAGGACTTACCAAAGGGCACAGAGAAGAAAAGATCCTGAACGAAGAGAAGGAGCGGGCAGCAAAATCCCTTTCCTTCGCTCCTTCCAGGGGACCTGGCACGGTGGCAGCTCAAGAAGTGCCTGAAGCCAGTTCTGTGCGTCCGTCCAGGACAGGAGCTGATGGCCGGAGCTGGCTTTGGGCTGGTGTTTGTCCTTTTGGCTTTGCTTTCCCTCTCACGGAGCTATTCCCCACTGTAACGCTGTGTCCCCGGGGCCAATTTAGGGGCACCCCAAACACAGTGGGGGGACCGTAGGGCTCAGACCTGGCGCAGCAGCAGCAGGGAGAGAGGGCGGGATGGAGGAGGGAAGGACAGAAGAGGCTGGAGGCGAGGAGGTGCCGGTTCCCTCCCCTCTGCCCAGACCACACAGAGGAGAGGCAGTGGGGAGGCGTTTGGGGGCTGCTGGAACCCCAGCCCTGTTTAACCCAGCGAGGGGCGAGCCGCCATGGAGGGAGGGCAGGGAGGACAGCCGGACAGACAGCTCCTGGTTATGAATATTAACTACTTCCTCCAGAGGCAGCCAGCGCAGCGCCGCATTAACCATTTCTTCGGCATTGCAGACATATGGACAGATTCCCCAAAACGAGCCGGACAGACAGCCTGCTCCCTTCACACCACCGCATCGCCCACTGCAGGAGGCCCCCAGCCCAGGGACTCTCCAGCTCGAGAGCCCCCCCAGCCCTGCCTAACTCTGGCGTCACGTCACACCTGTCCCCAGAAAGCCGTGACACATTCCGCGTGGGAGGAGAGGGATGGCCTTTCGGGCATCACGTCATGCTTTAAGGAGGCAGACCCAAAGCTCTGGCTGGAGATGCGAGTTTCTCCTTCTTAAACAAGTGCCCAGCTCAAAAGGCACAGAAACCCTTCCAATGGCCCCATCAGCCAAACGTGACCTCCTCTCCACTCTCCCCAAAACGCACATCTCTCATACCTCCACGAATGACAATGGGAGCAGCATTTCCACCCAAGCCCTCAACTCAGAGCCTGGTTTCCCCAAAAACCAGTGTGCACCATGCATCCTTGGACACCTTTTTTCCTTGCTTTTCACCTTTTGATTTTTCACCCTTGGTTCCACAGCTCTGGGCACACCAAGAACCCCTCAGACACACTCCATCAGTTTAAGGACTGTTTAAAGAGGAAAGAGAAGAGACTGAGTTCCTATTGCCTGCCGAGCACCCCTCCTGCATCCTGCTGTGACCCCCACACTCCAGCTCGACCGTCCAGCCAACCCACAGATGCTTCGCCATTACCCCATGGGGAATAACCAGAAGAAAAGTGGAGAAACTGCCCCTGGATTCAGCCCCAGCCCTCCATGCCCTCCAACACCCACTCGCTGAGCCCTTACCTCGCTGCGGTCGGAGTGCAGAGCAGCGGAGATGGGCGGGATGGGGAGGGGGAAGCAGATTCCTTCAGCTTTAGTCAGCTGGCGAAAGCGAGAGCAGAGCCAGCGGCTCCCTCCCTGCTGAGCCCAGCCAGGGGACAGAGCCAGGCGCAGGGGGGAGAGCCTCAATGCTCCACCGATGGCTTTAACAGCCCCAGCCTGCCCCATCTGGCTCCCCGCCTTCACACAGCTCGGCTCGCCTGTTGCTCCATATGCCCTAGCTGTCCAAGCGGGCCCAAGGCAGGAGCCCAGCAAGATACCACCCCATCATATAGACAAACCTGTGGCACTGACCCCATGGTGGGGACAAATCCATGGCACTGACCCAATCCAGGGACTCTGTGATCATGGAAAGGTACAAGACTGATGCCCAAACTGTTCCCTGAATGGGATGGGGAGGCAGGAGGGCACCAGCATCACCCCAGGATGTTTTTCAGCCAGGGCTGATGCAAGTTGCTGGCACCCCCTATAAACATGCCTGCTCACACCCTCACTGTGCCATCCCAGACACAGACATGGTGGGAGCGAAGCATAGGCACATGAGCACAGCCAAGCCAGGGGCCAGCAGCATTACTCAGGTGAGGATTTAGCAAGCCCCATACAGATGTTGGGCTTGGCCCAGCCTCAGCAGTCCCCATTCCAGCAGTGGAGACAGGGCTTGTACAGGGGAAGGCAGGGATGGATACCAGGTTCAGTGGGGTAAGCGGGCCCAAGGGACAGTGGTAATGGAACTCACTGGGTCAGGAACACACATGGCCATTTGGCACAACTTCATGCTGCCCCAGCATGGCAGAAACCTCTGTCCCCCTGCTCTGACCTACCACAGCCACACATCCAGGTCCTGGAGATAACCCCCTATCTCCGTGCCAACCCCAGCACTCCTCTCCACTGGCAATGATCTCAGCCAAACCAAACCAATCAATAATCACTCCCCATCTACATTGCCAGTGTGCAGTACCCCAAAAATCTCACTGCAGCAACTCTCCAATAAGCTGCAAAACCCACAGTGCTCCGGCTGTTCCCTGGACCCAGTTTGGCCCCACCAGGAAGGGCAGAACATCCTTCACCCACCTTGAACAGGGGAGATCTGAACTCCAATAACAGCCATCCCCTCCCTTAGCTTTCTCAGTTGCTGTAAGTACGGAGGGAACTCATTACAGAGTCAGAATGACCCCAAAGCCTCTTTGAGGAGGAGACAGGAGGGCAGGCGGAGCTGCAAGCCACTGTGTAGGAACCAATGACATGCAGTGGGATGGAAATGGGGGGGTCCCAGTGCACCCCGCTCTCCCTGATAACCACAGAGCAGCCTAGGCCAGGCGAGGACATAGATAAAGCCAGCAGAGCGGGTTGTGAAACAGCCCAGCTGGGCCAGAGAGCGAAATGAGGATATTTGCTCAGTCAACCAAGGACCTCACTGCACCTCAGTTTCCCCCCCACATCCATGAGGATAAGCAGACAGGTGGCAAGCACCAGAACAGGCACCACCCCTGGTGGACCCCCTGCTATCCACCATGGGGTCACCTCCCAGCCCAGCAGCCTCTTTGCTCCCAGCACGGACCCCAAACAGAGTGAGAGCGAGAAGGGGAACCCACCGGTTTGTAGCCAATCCTGACCTCCAGGCTGCCACCTCCTCCAGGAGCCTTCACCAGACGTCAGGGAGCAGCAGTGGCAAAGCAGCAGTGCGGCGGTTGATCCCACCCCGGTGCTGGTCCCGTGTCATCTCCCCCTCCCCCCCCC